CACCAGACCAACCTCTTGTATTGACAGAAACACCTTCGAAACCCTTCGAGATTATTCACCTCGATACACTCCTTGTAGATAAACAAAAATTCCTAGTAATTATAGACAAATTTTCCAAATATGGACAAGCCCTTCCTTGCGTTGGCACCGCCATATCAGTATCCCAAAATCTAATCCATTTCTTTTCATTTTTCGGTATCCCTAAATTGATTGTATCCGATAATGAAACAGAATTCAAGAACGAAGTAGTTAAGGATTTATTGAAAACACATAATATTAAAATCCATTTTACTACTCCAAATCATCACGAGTCGAATTCGCCCGTTGAAAGGTTAAATTCAACCCTGATAGAACACATAAGAATACTACGAGAAAAAAACAAAAATACTGACGTATCAACCCTAATGTCCTATGCTGTAATTGCTTATAATAGCACAATCCATTCAAGCACAGGCTTTACTCCCTATACATTGATTTTAGGACACACTTCTTCTAGTGACCCTATGCCCGCGCAAATATTCACCGAATATGTCCACAATCACAAAACTAACACGGAAGCTTTGTATAACAAAATACAACAAGACTCAATTAATTTAAAACAAAAACTTATTGACAAACATAATCAAAAGAAGACCCCTCAAAAACTAACCATAGGGTGTCAAATATATAAAAAACAAGACAAACGACGTGGTAAATTACACCACAGATTCACAGGTCCATTCATCTTAACAAAAATATTAGAAAACAACAAGATTGAAATTGAAAACCCCAAAACAAATCGAAAAGAGATTTTGCATATCAACGAAACCAAAATCAAATCTATTGTTACAGATGGATCCGAATCTTCAACATCGGAGCAGTAGGAATAAACTTCCATAACCTGAATAAATATCCCGGACTCCTACCTTATAAATTGGGAACTGCCAAAATAGTTTCCAATCATTGGTCATTAATACAAATTCACGACCTAACACCCCTTGTTAACGAATTTTATTTGATCAAAGAAAACGCTAACTATTTAATTAAAAACATTACAAATAATGTATCCTATGAACGAGAATATAAAAACACGTTGCTGCCTTTAATGGCATTAGAAAAACGCATAGAAAACAACATAAGGCAAATTGACCCAACGAGTAGTTACTCAAAAAGACAAAAACGTGGCATCTTGAATCCTTTAGGATCATTAATAAAATGCATTACTGGCAATCTTGATAAAGATAATGCAGATCTTTATGATAGGCAAATTAGACAATTACAAGAAAATCAAGATAAACTTAAAAAATCATCTTTTAATCAAATTAATTTATTAGGGAAAACCATTGAACAGTTTCAAAACGTTATCTCTAATATATCTGCCAATCAAATAACGCTAAAATCGAGAATACTGCAAATTGAAAGCACAATAAAAAAGGTAGCTCTGTCTGCTATTGACAACCATCAATACTTCCAAACTCACATAATAATTAATCAGATATCAATGCTATATCAAACAATTTACGATATCTTAGAAAAAACGGAAGTAGCTATCTCATTTGCTAAAATCAATACGCTCCATAATTCAATAATCGATCCATTAGAGCTAATAAAAGAAATTTGTAGATTTAAAAAACAATTAGTGCATGACGTGTTACCATTAGAAGCCAATATTGATAACATATTGAACTACGAAAAAATAATCGAGATTAAAGGTTATTCAAAGGGCCTGATTATCACCTTCATCTTGGAAATACCATTGGTCGAATCGGATGTCTATCACTATTATCAATTATTTCCGATACCAATTCCAAGCGAACAAAATCATGATTTCTTTATGAACTTTCCACACAAACCATACCTTGCACTTAGCAACAACAAGTACTCTTATATGGACCAAACCTGCAACCAATTGTTACCCAACGAGTACTTATGTAAAGAAGCCCATACTGCATACATTGATCATGAGCCTCCATGTGCAGTCCAATTGATTTTATACAAAGAAAATGCCACTACTTGCCACCCTTTCCGTATTAGACTACAAAATGTCCAAATCACTAAAATAACGGACGGAAAATGGATAATCACAACGCCCGAACAACTAATTGTCTCAGCATCTTGTCCAAATTCTAAGGACAACGTACCGCTTCATGGTTCCTACTTAGCCGAATCTACAAATGAATGCAGCTTACAAATAAAGTCAATTACTCTACGAACTTATAAGCCCAATCGTTTGACTTATGATGATGTATCCTTGCCTACACTGAATTTATCGATGAATTATTACCAAACAAAGGAATTTGCTTTTAATCCACCTACACTTGACCTGAACTCCATCAACTTGAAGGAAACCAATGAAATTGCCACAACTCTTCAAGAACAGAAGAGACGACTACAAGAAATATCTAACCCAATGGAAATGCACCAAATAAATTTTTGGACAATTTTACTTTATTGTATTTTAGGAATACTATGCATTTTTACTGTCTATAAATTACTTTTGAAACATCGCCTTAAACGTGCCCAAAAAGCCTCGTTAGAAGACGATATTGTAATTTAACAATTTTACTTTTACTTATTTAGTTTAATCATATTTTTCTTTTAGCATTTTCTTTATTTTTTCCATTGTATAAAACCATACCTTTTTTGGTATGCTTTTAACTTAGGATGGAGGAGTTATATCCCGTGAGAACTCCAATTCAGCATTTATATTGTTCTATTCAGCTTATTTTTAATATTATAAAAGGAGTAATTTCTAGATTTAAGTCAGTTCTATTGTATTAGTCAAATAAAGTTTTTTTAAAAACGCTCTCTCGTGTACACCCCTCGTAAGTCCTACTTGTTATTCCAAATATTTATTATTGCATGTACCTACACTTTAAGTCTACCTTTGTAAAAATGGCATGTCCGTAAATAAAGAATTTATTTATTTATTTATTTATCCTCGAGTCTATCTGCATGTCTATTTTCAAAACCGGGGAATAGCGTTCTCATGAGAACGATTGCTCTGTCTTTGTTAGTGTTATGGAAATATGAATATGGGTGACGAAGACAGAACCTTCGTTCTCATGAGAACGTTTCTTCCTTGTCTCTAGAATAGGGACCACAGACATCTGACTCAAACGCTTGTGCAAGTAAAACTTAAACGATTTTCAGTCCAGTTAGAGATTGAAGTTTACCGGTAATTTTCATCTGTTCTTTCTCAGTGGTAATTTACCGGTAATTTTTCGGTTATTTTGGTAATTTTGGAAATATTTCATGGAACAAACAATTATGTCTATATACTATACGTTCAAAGAAAGGAAAATACCTAATACCTACTTTTTGTTCGATCTCAATCGAATTTCATTTTAATAGTTAATTTGGTAATTCTGGGGAAACTGAAAACAAGGTTCATTGTATAAATTTAATGTATATATTTTTGGGTTGTATATAAAATTTGCCCAGCCTACACTAGGCCTGGTTCATCCAGGCACCCTTTTGCGGTACCTCTCTGTATAGTATGGGTACCGCATTCCCACTCTCGAGCACCTGAGCGCCAAAAATAGGCGCGATGTATTGGGAGGAACGGAAGACAGACGCATATTAGCAATTCTACGAGCAAGGTAAATTCTTGGCCTAATTTTAAACCTATTTTTTTGACGGATTTACAAACCGTTATTTTTGCAATAAATAAAACGTGATAGCTCGCTTACGGTTTAGACTTTGTCTAAAATTTACGTGCGTGTCGTTACCAGGGCAAAAAGAAAACAAATAAATAAAATGAGCTGAATAAGTATAGCATAAGAGATATCTCTGTCAAGAAAATTAATTACTTTAAGCGCACAGGGTTGGCAAAAACCCGGGTTTTTGCAAATTTCTATTGGTTTTTTGGGTTTTTGCGATAGTTATGCTTTTGTAGGATTTTTAAGATCTTTGACTCTTTGACATTCCAAATAATCTCAAACTCATAACTCAACAACAACCCACCAGGTTTTTGAAATACCTAGGTTTTTCCTATGAGCACAATGTTCTAATTCAAAATATAGGTACTACATATTTTTTACTTCAAATCAAATTACTATCTATAGGTACTATTTTCCATTGAGAAAACCTAGATCTTACATAGATTTTTTGATAAATGAGATGGACAAAAATACTTGTGGAAAAACATTACACCTAACTTCTACAGAAAATATCTTTTTCACCATTGACAGCTTGCCAACTGCCGTCGCCGGCGGAAAAGCACCACTTTCCGCACTTGTTAGGTAAATAACTATTTGTTTATGCCAACCCTGAAAGCGTGTTACAGATTCACAACAAGATGGCGAATAATGCATGAGAAGAATTGTCGCCTGAATGTGATTCCATTCAGGAAGCATTTCTGAAAATTACAGGTGCAGTTGTTTTGTGTTCCTGTGTATCCAGCTAAGTTAAAAATGTCAAAAGTATGGAAGTTTTTTGAAATCCATACCTGAATTTAATGTTTATGTTTAAAAAAAATATTGTTATGGTTTACAACTTTAATTTTAATAAAGTTCTAAGTATTCTTCTTGCTTTCCGCTTATAAATTTATTATTTAACCTATTTTATAATTTTCGAAAATTCCGGCCGGATCGCGGTTGTATATATACATACAGTCGTTCGGGCTTTTTGGTCAAATTGGCTGCTAAATTTTGGATGCTAACTTCACACCAGTCAGAATTATTAAGGCTATGGTCCGAATATAACTAAAAATTAATCAAAGTAACCAAATCGGTTGACAGATGGTTACTGAAAATTCCAGTTACTTGGGGAACGCGAATATGAAAAAAAATAATAATAATTGACAGAAATTACAGATAAAACCAATAGAACCGACATCCGATGGCCAGTAACTATTTTGACATTTGGTTAATCAGATTTCAGGAAACCGAAGTCCAAAAGTGACCACTTTTCCAGGAACCAGGGTAATTTGATCACTTTCGGACTCGGACTGCGAAACCACAATCCTGGTTATATTCGGACCACAGCCTTAATAAATATTGTTCAATGAAAGTTCTTACCTGTAAATCGAATCCCACTGCCCACGCTTGCTCAATCAGACGCTGCAAATGCGATATGCTCGGTACAGAGCTCCTGGGGGGCTTTTCTTTTTGCCAAACTTTATACAGCCGTTCGTTGTACCCGGTGTGAGTCAACAGGCTTGACATGATCATTTGGGTATTCCGGTAGCCACAGCCCCAGCCCCGGTCGCCGTACGAGGAAGCGTAGTGGTCGACACAGGTGCAAAGGAGAGTTCGGACGACGTTTTGAGCGGTTGCGCTCATGGCTTTCACCCTAGGAACCTATAATAAGAGAAAAGCGTTTAGCGATTTTGTTTCTTCTGCAGTCAAGTTATATCAATTTCTTTTATATTTTGCATAAAAAAAATATTTTTTGACTTTGAAAAAGTGCTGGAATTATCAAGAACTTTTAGATGTTGTAATATTCATCCTTGTACGGTATGGACAAGAATCGAAGAATTTTGACTATTATAGATCACCCATAACACAACAACTCGTAACCCTAAGAAACAAAAAGAAATATTTAATTAGAATTTTCCCATTAAATGTTTACTGAAACCCAATTAGAGTTTTTCAAATTTTGGTATCATTACCACATTGCCAACTCAGAACTTATCTATGATTAACTCCTATTCCAAAAAATTGATGGGATGTCAAATTGTTGATTGCTGAAAAATGCATCCTCACAAAAAATAACTTCAATTTCAAGGCAAGGATGTATGACTCAATTAAAATTTAATAGATAAAATAAAAATTTTAAAGATAATCAAACCATTTCTTGAGAATAAATTCTAGATACTAATTCTTCAAGTTTAACAGTTTCCTTTTCTAAGTTGGATTATAAACTTACAATACTTCTGGTCACTGAGTTGCCATCATCCACTCCACAGCTTTCTGAGGCTTTCAAATCGAGTTGACGTTCATAATAATCAGCAACGCTCATCTCGCCAGCGTAAACTGCTCGTTGCATGTTTGTTACTGATTGTTCTCGAAAGTTACCCTAAATAAATAAGTACAATCTGAGAAATGTTTTTGTGAATATTAGATTTGTGGGAACCCGTTGAATCACTACCAATAATTAGAAAATCAGAATCAGGAAATTTTGTATGTAATGATTGTATTGGCTTCAAGTTGATGCACTTCAATATTGCATAATTTGCATAAACATACAATTAAAATGTATAATAATTTATAAAAGCTAGAAGTTTTGTGTAGATTTCAAGTGGAAAACTTAAAAATTTATTTGATATTATGTATTATTGTCGTTCCTTCCCAACCAATTTTTCTAAATCCACAATGTAGTCTATTTTTTATAACTCACCTGATTGTCCATTCCGTATTGGGCTCGTAACATTTCAAAATCTCGCTTTTCCCGCTCACGTAGTGCCGCCCTATCGGCTGTCGGCTGAGGAGATCCGGCAGGAAAATGAGATTCTACATGTTGTTGGGCAGCTTCACCCTAATAACATAAAGAAAACTCCTGAATTGCAACTAAATGAATGTCAGCGTTGGACTAATATTGTTAATTTTTATTTATTTATTTATTCAACGTATCGACATCTACAAGTTTACAAATAAGATTAATAACTTAAACTACCTAACCTAAAACAGTTCTTTTTGCGCAACTTTTAAATCTCATATGTGACATGTTGAAAAAGTCTAATGTCTCACAAAATTTATTTACATTCGCAACGCTCTATTGACAGGACTAGGACTATACAACAAGTAGCAAGAATGGCAAATTGGTTATGCATCAAGGCACTGGTACGAGTTGGATAGCAAGGTATACGAATCCGGAATGTTTCCAAACATTATTTATCGCCTACTTTATGTAAGTTGATAAATCTTGTTTTTAATACTGCATCTGTACCAAGTCTGTTTAAAATGGTAAAGGTTGTCCCTTTTTTTAAGGATGGTGATAGCACAGAAATAAACAGCTATAGGCCTATTTCCTTGCTCCCAGCTATGTCTAAGGTATTAGAGACTTTTGTAAATATAAGATTAAACAGTTATTTGGATGGAATAAATTTTAAGTATGCAGGTCAATATAGATTCAGAAAACACAGCAATACCTCCTCAGCAACTACAGACCTAATTACAAATATTTATGAAAAGGTTGATAAGAGATATAAGTGTGTGCTTGTCTCGCTGGACTTAAAAAAAGCTTTTGATACAGTAAATCACTAAATTCTCGTGGAGGTGCTTGAAAAACTGGTATTGGAAGTTCAGCACTACGATGGTTTAGGAATTATCTATCGGGCAGACTACAGTAGGTATGTTGAACGTGAAGGTAACAGAAGTAAAATGGAAAACATGGCACACGAAGTGCCCCAAGGAGCAATTCTGAGACCAACACTCTTCCTAGTCTACATGAACTCCCTGTCATACATACCTCTTCAGGGCTCTCTCAATTTATATGCAGATGATACTTGCATCACTTATTTTGACAAGGACCCTGCTAAGTTAAAAATCATCATTGAAGAAGACTTACAGAAAATAAGCGATTGGCTCTGTTACCACAATGTAAAAAAATCAAGCTATATGGTAATATTAAGGTTTGAGTTCTGGCATGACTTCACGATAAACTTTCAAGGTCTTCCACTGACTCATGCAAACTGCATCAAATACCTGGAACTCTTTGTCGATTCAAAACTTACTTAATATATGCATATCTTGTATATATGTGAACAGATTACACCAGCAATTGGAATACTTGGTCGAATATCGGACAATCTGTCCATTACGCATCGTAAGATGATACTAAATTACCTTAACCATTCTCACATATCATATCTAACTCTGCTATGGAACAATACTTCCCTTAAAATTAACATTTATTTATTTATTTATTTAACAAACTGCATCCATTGTCAGTGCTCCATAATCGTTGCCATAAAAAAATTGTTTCTGTTTCCAACAAAAGATCTATATTATCCGAATTCCCTGTATATCTTGCTATCATGCATCTTTATCCATTCTTGAAAGACTTCCAATATTCACTCTACAATAAGTCTCATGCCAGCCAACACAATCCATCACCACAATACCAGACTCAATGAAAATTTAAGAACGTCCGCAATGAACACTACAACTGGCCTACGCAGCATCTTGTCAAAAAAACTAATGTACTACAATCTAATTCCAGAATCTGTTAAAAGATTGAACATAAGTTGTTTCAAGTGTAAGCTGAAGCAGCTGATCTTCGATGGTTACTTTGGGACTGTACAATGAAAGACTTTATCTGCAATTTAGAACTAATATATTCATAAATGCAACAACTTTGTGATAAAGTACCTACTTGTACTGGATATTTTCTCTTGTGTGATATTATATAATGTATAATGATATATTATATTGTAATAATGTTATATATTATCTGTTTTCAAATGATCTATTGAAGTTAGTGAATAGGCACAAGTTGGTATTGACGGAGCGGCTAGAGGTAAATCCATGTTGCTGATTAACTATGATTTGGTGAAACGTACCCGACAAAACTCTTTGAATACAGTGTTCAAATAGCTTAGGTATAGCTGAGAGAATACTGATTAGTCTGTTATTAGTCACATTATTTTTGCGCCCTGATTTGTGGATGAGACAAACAATAATTTCCAGACTTTTGGAAACACTCCAGAGGTAAGAGACTTCCAAAATATTAAGTAAAGGGCGAGATACAGGGAGTGAGAAAAAAGCTTTAACACTCTGTTTGGGATTCCATCAAGGCCCTCTTTCTTATTGATGTTGAGTTCAGAGAGTGACTTTTCAATGTCAAATGCAGTAATCTGAATATCTGAAATTGACTTGCTGCTATTTGCATCGCTATAACTTTAGGGATATTTGATCTTAGTGGAGCTTTGAATGTGACACTTGTAGAAACAAAAGTCACATTCAAAGCTCCACTTAAATTAAATATCCCTTAAGCTGTAGCGGTGCATATAGCCATGGAAAGGTGTGTGTGGAAAAAACATTTTCGTTAGATATAGTTGTAGGGTTATAAACTGAAGAGAAAAACTAAGCAAAGAGGTTGGCTATGTCACAACCATTATCAGCCTTATTCGAGCCAAAACACATTTCCTTAGGAATGGAACCTTGATTTGACTGCGAACGAGCAAAGCTCTAAAGAGATTGATAGAATCTTCAGTGTTTGCTATGTAAAGACTGTAGCATTCCTTGGACACATTGTCCACACAAGAGAGAAAATCTACTGTAGTCCACAACTGTCTTTGACTGCTTGTACCTTTTGTGAGCCTTCTTTTTTTGAAAGATCAGGGATTTCAATTTACTTGAAAACCAGATAGGAAATTTGTCGTTAGAGCGACACTGTTCATTTTAATGTACAATGTAGAATACAAAAAGAATATGAAACCAATTATACAGTATATTTTCCATGGGTTGATTATTATAAATCTTGTTGGCTAGCTACAGATAGCTTATAATATTGAAACGACAGAGTGATTTTTTTTTGAATTTATGAATCTAACATTACTAGTTGTTTGTTAACCAGGATTTTTTGATAATTTTTTGGTTTGAGGAATTTTCTTTATATTTAATATTCCAATAAACTTACGTCAGCCTCTCTGTCCAGCGCCATCCCGCAAACTGGACACGAATACAGGGCGGCGGCAGCCTCGGCAGGAGTTGCAGGCGACAAAACGTCTTTGTGCTCAATGTTGACGTGCAGTTCTAGATCTGGGGCTGAAGAGAACGATTTCACGCAAATAGGACAAGAAAATGTTTCTTTGGTGGTGGTTTGGTGGCCTACTGAAGGTGATGTCAAGTCGAAGTGTCGCCTATAAATACAATAAAACAATTTGATTTACATTATTGTTGTGTAGTGTATTATAAATTCTTGACGGTGGAATTTAAGAAAAAGATCCAATTAGCGCAAAATGAATGTATTCGATATATTTTCTGCGTGTATAAATTTGATCATATTTCACCTGTTTATCGAGAAAATAACTTACTAAGATATGGAGAGCGAGTGGCTCTATTTTTTGGCACACTAGTATATAAAGTTTTCAAATCTAAATTCCCAACGAGCTTTTGGCAATACATGGTGGCGAGACAGGACTTGCATGACCGGAATTTAAGATTTGTTACCAGACATAATATACCACAGCATAATACTGTCAAGTTTAGAAACTCATTTGCGTTTCAAGTGGCTGAATTACTTAATTATAGTTGATAATTCACTAGCTGCTTTCAAACGAAAATATAAATCCTATCTTGTCCACCGTTCAAGAAATTAGGCTAAAAATTAGGGAGATTATTTGTTTATTTATTTATTTATTTATTTATTAGGTTTATAAAATTTGTACCCACTTCCTAATTTTAAGTTGTGCGGGTGGCATGGAAGAACGCTCTGCGAATGCTACCTTTTATGTGATTTAAGTTATGTTGCATAATAAAGATTTTTCTATTCTATTCCATTCTATTCTATAACAAGTTTTATTACTAAAGGCATAAAATCATGTTCTACCAAAACTGTAAGCCAATATATTATTGTTTTCTTCATCTTGTGTCTTCTTTTATTTTTGTATTGACTTTCGTTTTGTGTTTCAATGGCAATCAAAAATTAAATGTTTCCAAAGAAAATTAATGAACCTTAATTGATGTTAGTCAATAAGTGTTTCTCATTGAATCAGATTAGTGGAATTCCAAAAATCTCACCTGTTAACGTGTTCTTCTAATTCATTGGGACTATTACTTGTATAGCTGCAAATAGGACATTGTAAGAAGGCTGGAGGTGGTGCTGCGGAATTTTTCAGTTTCAAGGCCAGATTGGATCGTAGAGGTGATCCTTGGCCTCCATAATGGTGGTTTGAATTTTGTGGGGTCACCTCGCCCCCTCCACTTACCTATACAAATTGTAGTTTTACATATATGATTTTTTCATACTCAGCTCTGTTTGGGGAAAGAAATTTTACTCCTAGGAAGTTTACAGATGATGTCGAAGATAAAGTTATCACTGGACTACAAATTGTAAGAATGTTAGAGAAACAAGAAAAGGTGCTTTTCAAAAGTTGTTGAATATGCAAAGGCCATTATTGTTATTCTGATGAAGAGTAATTTGAAAATTGCTGTTTTCTAAAACATTTAAATGGACTTACTTTAGGACTGAGATTGATATTTGAATAACTGCTCTTGTTGTCCATTCGTTCCCCATTGAGGCTCCTGTTGGAATAGGTGGCCGGATTGTTCCAACTGACACTACTTTCTCCATTAAAACCATTAGTACATTCACTAAACAAAAATGCAATAGGTAAGTATTATGATAGAAAAATTATGGAATTTGAATTAGTTAGCAAATATTGTAGTTACATGGATATAATTTGTTATACAGGGTGACACATTTACAAGGAATTGCAAAGAATATAGGAAACTCGGCTATTGAATAAAATCTTAACTTACCTAGGACTTGGATCATCAATAAAACTAATACCATTCTGTTGATCATTGTCCTCCGGAGTCAAAAAATCCAAGTGAGCTTGATTAACATGTAAAATGAGCTCGGCAGGACTGACAGCAGTCAGTTCACAAAAAGGACAAACACCGAAACCGTCCACGTGAGCTGTGCGAGTGTGAATCCGGAACTCGTCTTCGCTGAGCCCGTCCAGACCGCAAATTTCGCAACAATAGTTCATCGAATCCGGAAAGTTGCTGGCCATTTTTTTCAAACAATAATTTGTTTTAGAGGTTTTAAGGTTAATCTCAATTCTAAAATTAGATTTTCATCGTAAGGAATTTACAAGACAATTATTAGGCAAATTAAAGAATTCTATCAAGCTAAACTGTATTTAAATAATTGTTTTAAGCATCTTGGTAATTGTTATTGATAAATTATTACAAAATACAGAAAATAGGTGAATTATGTCATGATTTTTGAATTTGACTTTTGAGTGACAAGTGACAGTGATTTTGACATTTATCATCTGTTTGTAAAGGGGCACGTTCAGAAACGAGTTCAGAAATAGGTGTCAGTGTAAGTTTTTTAAATTGATCTTTGTTTTTTGTAGTGTATAATCCTCTCTCACATTGTGCACCAGTGCAGGTGGTCAAATACGCTACGAATAATTTGAATCGAATTGCGCTTTTTTGTTTTGAGAATCCTTGTCCAGGTCTGCTCGGAGCAGATCTATAATGTACAAATGAAAACTCTTATCGTTGTTGTCTTTTTTGACAATTGACAAGTTTTTTGTTTTAGGTTATGTATATGTTTATGTTTGACTTTTATGAGGCTGTGCTTTTATATTTGCTTATTTATATTTGTATTTTATATTTTTAAATAATTTGTTGTTGTTGATAAGTGATAATAATTCCAATATATTTTTCGTTTGCCTAAAAATTATATTTTTATTGGATTGCACTCTTGCACTTTGCTTTTTAACCTAAAAAGTAGAATATCAGATCAACGGTATCAGAGAGAACTTTGGACCTTGTGCTTGCTTTTACTTCTGTTTCTCAAAATTTAGATTATTAGGGATTGTTTTGCATCAAAATGGCCAGTCTGACTTTAATTAAAAGGTCCTTTTCCACTACAACTGCCAGAAATGTTATCAACAATGTTACTGTTATCGGAGGAGGTCTTATGGGATCTGGAATTGCTCAGGTAAATATTAATATTAATTCTTTTATTTATCTCCAGATCTATTGATAATAATAATAATGATAGGTATAGGTTTTTTTACATTATATTTAGAGACAATGTTGTCAATGCCTATTTTTTTTCTTATAATTTATCAGAATGTCATGTGATAGTAGACATATCTATTTTACCAACCAAAGAGGTAATAATACGAAAACTTCATTAGATAAAAGGCCCTGGCTAAAGTAACAGAGGTGTTACTATAATTATTTTTTTAAAGTAACATCAGTTCAATGACGTCACTGATGTTACTTTTAATAGGGGTTATAGTAACAGAAGTGTTTACTCTAATTATTTTCTTGAAGTAACGTCAATATAGTAGCAATATATAGAAAAGAAAGGTAGGTACTTTCTTTAGCAATTTAAACTAAGTAAAGGTGATATTCAACAACATAACAATAATATTTTATTTATTTATTTATTTATTCAACATCTTAGAAACACCCTAAGGTTATTACATGTAAGGAAAGCCTAATACTAAATAGAAACACATATTAACAACTAGACATGGGAACAAAATATAAAACAATATAAGTTATACCTATTTACGGATTGTACAAGCTATATCCAATATTATTTAATTTCCTTTTAAAAAGTGACACATCAGGATTAAAGATATCCAAACTATGCTGAAGTGAAAGGATATTACACGCTTTTAGCATAAAAGCAAAGGGAGAACAACTAAGGGGATTAATACAAAAATCTCCCAGCATTCTTAATCTTAAATTAATGTTGGGCACTCTTATACTTATAAGTTCCACCAAATAACAACAATTGTATTTAATGTTATTAATAATGTAATATACAAATATCACAGCCTGATTTATTCTTCTTTGTACAAGAGTTTGATATTTAAAACTAATTAACATTACATTATATGATATTAGGTATGGATAAACATGGTTCTCTCTTAAATATAAATAACGCAGAAACTTTTTTTGGACCCTTTCAATGTAATCTATGTGGCAATTTGCTTGAGGCGACCAAATTATAGAGGCATACTCAAGATGCGGCCGTACCAATGAGTTATATAAAATTTCAAGTGTCTCAGTCTTAACGAAAGATTTCGAGTTTCTTATGATAAAACCTAATTTGCGATATGCCTTGTTGACAATATGGGTGAAATGTGAGTTGAATCTAAAAGAAGATTGCAGATACACTCCAAGATCCTTAACACTGTCACCGCGCTTAAGGATCTTTCCATCTAAATTATAGTCATAATAGACTGGTTGTACCTTGTGAGTGAAAGTCATCACAGAGCATTTATTAATATTTAGAGACATTTTGTTCAAAGAAAACCACTGAGAAATAGACTGCAGGTCTTGTTGTAATTTTGTGCAATCTTCCTTCCCAGTGACAGTTTTAAAGATCTTGAAATCATCCGCAAAAATAAGGCTTTTTGAGTAATTAACCACATTAGGCAAGTCATTAATAAAAATGACAAACAAGATTGGGCCCAGATTACTGCCCTGTGGAACACCGGATGTTGCTACAAATTTATTTGAAAAGCAGCCCCCAATTTTGACTACTTGCATTCTATCGGAAAGGTAAGACTGGATGAATAACACCGCAAATGCCTTGCTACAATCTGTAAAAACAGCGTCCAATTGTTGCTTATTATCAATTGCTTTTGAAATTTCCTCTGTAAAGACACATAGGTTAGTAACTGTTGATCTGTTGTTAACAAAACCATGTTGTTCCCTACACAGTTGTGGTGTGATATGAGCCTTGATCTTATTACAAAGTACAATCTCAAAGATTTTTGCCATGGAATTAAGAACACTGATGGGCCTGTAATTACACACATCACCAACACTACCAGACTTAAATATAGGCGTTATCACAGCTGTTTTTAATTTATTTGGAAATATGTTATTCTTTACAGACATAGAAAATACATGAGTCAAGGGTTCAACGAGAAAATCTACACAGCCTTTATAAATATAACTAGGAACATTATCGGTACCAACACTTTTCTTTGGTTTTAACTGCTTTATTGCTACCCTTACGTGCTCCTCAGTGATCAAATCCAGCCCAAACTCACCCTGAGAATCCAGCCCCCCTAATGAACCCACAGGCTCATACACAGAAGCAAAATATTCAGCAAATGCATCTGATATTTCAGGGGGACCATGATACATTCTATTATTAAAATTCATTTCATTAGGAATACCATAATTTTTCGATTTACATTTTATGTGGCTCCAAAAACCATTAGGATTATTTTTAATGCCTGATTCAATGGTTCTTTGGAAATTACTATATTCATTGCTAGTTTGACACTTTATTTCACTTCGCAGATTCAAAAATTTAAGCCGCTGAGCAGCACTAGCCTTTCCTATTTTAATTAATCTATGAATTTTGTTTTTTTGTTTAATTTTATTTATAAGATGTTTGGTAAAATATTTGGGGTATTTAACTTTATTTGTAGTATGGCTATCTTTAATGTGCCTCTTGGGAATAGCACAATCAATACATTCGAATAATTTTTTATAAAATGCATCAGTGGCCAAGTTAGGATCAGAAATACTGAAAATCTCTGTCCAATCCTTAGAACTTACTGCCTGGTACAGAAGAAGGTAATCACCCCTCGCATAATCGTAAACAAAGGACTTACCAATACTATTTTTAGATTGCAAGTCATGAAAGCAAGACAAGAAGACATCAAAGGAATGAGGGATGATGACTGTCCTCCCTCACCAGCCCCTGTGCTCTATTTACCTGTAGAATATTCATATTGGATAAAATAAGGTCTAACTTTCTACCCATTTCATTTTGAATATGATTGAATTGCTGTAAATTATTAAGATTAATAAAGTTATGTAACAATAAATTTTTATCACAGTTCAAATTTAGGTCTAGGAAAGGCAAATTCATATCCCCCACGACCAGCAGATCACAATTATTATCTAAAATACTTTGCAAATTAATATCACAGTTTGGCGGAACGTATATGCATGATAGATAAAATACAACTTTTTATATTTAACTTTTAGTAAAAGACATTCAATATCACTATCAAACATTACTACTTCATATTTAAACTTTTTGTGTAGCCCAATAAGGACACCTCCACCACGACTCTTGCCATTGCTACGATCATTCCTAATCACATGATATCTTTCATCAAAAAGTTCAGCATTCTCCACACCGTCATTTAGCCAGGTTTCAGTCAACATGATAGCTTCATATTCATGTACAAGTATATTATGATACAATTCCAATGACTTAGTGCGAAGACCCCTCACATTCTGATAAAAGAAAAGCAATTCTGTTTTTTGGGAACTTACGATTTTTCTTGAGGACCCATCACTGCTGGCGCCCTCTTCCTCACAAAAAAATGAGTGACTATTGCACCACAAGGCCAAACATCTCGCCTCCATGCATTCTTTAACTGATCCTGACGGATTGTGACCTTCAGGGAACCATAAATTTCTGGGTGTTTGGAGGTGTGAGGTTCGCATATCACTCCAGGAAAGTTTGGCTCCAGTACTCTAGCCAACTCCTCTGGTTGAGTATTTGGAAGCAACCGGGACACATGAAGCGACACACATTTGGGAAGTTCCTACTGTTGAGGAGGCCTCGTTTTTTCCAACAATAAAACGACGTCTTCTGTTTACCTTTTGCCATCCATCCAGATTTTCATTTTTTTGGGACAAAGGCTCCGTATCCCTAGTCAAATTCTGTATTTCACTCATCTTTATAGTTGATTGGGCCTGAAATACTGCATTTTTTACTTGCTGTGGTAAAATTACTTGTTTTTGATTATTTATGGTTTGTTTATTTTGTTTATTTTGCGTTTGCGTTTATTTTTTATAAACCAAAAATTTGAATCAACATATTGATAATACAAATCTTTTGTGAGAAAAACGGCATCTCCATATTCCTATTCCTCACATGCCCTTACAAAGGAACGGGAGTGTCTCTCCTGCAGGTGAAATTCGATTGTTTACCTTTTTATGAGTGTGCAAAGTGAAAATTCAGTTTTCCATTTTTAATCATTAGCGGTATAAAATAATGGCCATCAACTTCAAGCATTTTTTTTCAGCAAATGAAGATAGGGAATTTCTTAACTTGGAGCTAAAACTATGATAATCTACAGCGAAAAAACTTCTGCGTAGGAAGGAAAATAATTTACTTTCCTCCATAGGGAGGCGAAATTACTATTTTCCTACCTGAAAAAAAGGTAACAAATTGTCACTTTCTGACAGTCATAAGAAAATGTGTCTTTCCTGCCTTGCCTATATAATAATTGTGCCTGTTTTATAAGTATTCTATTCTATTCTTCAAAGTCAAGTCAGGTTATTTTTTATTTATTTCCATTTTCACTCTAAAACAAATGCCAAGAACCAAGAATATCACCTTTACTTTAAATTGCTAAAGAAAGTAATTACCTATCTACATATTGCTATATTGACGTTACTTCAAGAAAATAATTAGAGTAACACCTCCGTTATTATTAACCCCTATTAAAAGTAACATTTTCATCAGTGACAACATTGAATTGATGTTACTTTAAAAAAATAATTATAGTAACACCTCTGTTACTTTAGCCACGGCCTAGATAAAAAAAAGACACAGAACGCTCATTGCGCAAGACGAGGCAAAATGTACCAAATTTTGTTAAACTTACGTATGGCAATCCATCCTCCTTATTTGCACGGGATAAAAAGAGAAGAAGAAAAACCGCGTGTTTTGCAACGTATATTTATCAATGAAAATTTCAAACTTCTTTTGAGTGTCACTTGTCAAGCTATGTCAAGTTGAATATCAACCGTACTTTTATTTTTGTCAGACCACGAGCAATGAACAAGGACAAGGTGATGTCCAGCGTGCAAAACGAAGACTTCACACCTGTACTAGTTAGCTAATAAAAAGACTTGCCTCATGTTGCGCGCGCATAGCAGGTAAAAATAGATAGGTCTTTTCTGTCAAACGAAACGGAAAATAGGTAATTTACTTAC